AAATGGATGTAGCTAAATATAAACTATCTATACTCCAGGGAATCATTTGTGTTACTTGAGGCTACAAATAGAAGGTGATAAGTGAATTTTTCTCCTTCGGTCACTTCAGTTAAAAATGTGAAAAACTACTCAGAGAACAGGTTTAAGCATTTGCAGTTATTAAGTTAACAGTGTCACAGGAAACACTAATATTTTTTATGCCTGATTTAATTTTTTAATAGTCTTTTTTTTTTTTTAATGAAAAGAGAAAATGGGAATGCCTGGGTGCCTCAGTGCCTCAGACGCTTAAGTGTCTGTTCTCGGCTTGGGGCCTGATCCTGGAGTCTCGGGATCGAGTCCCTCATTGGGCTCCCTACATGGAGCTTGCTTCTCCCTCTGCCTGTTTCTCTGCCCCTCTCTCTCTCTCTCTGTGTCTCTCATGAATGAATAAATACTTAAAAAAAAGAGAAAAGAGAAGATGCACTGTTTTTAGGAGAGGTAGGCCCCTCACTTATCCAGATACCACTTTCTGTGGTTTCAGTTACCTGCAGTCAACCACAGTCCAAAAGCAGATAATCCTTCTGAGATACCATCAGAAGGTTAGTGGTAGCCTAACGCTGCATCACAAAGCCTATGTCACTCAACTCCATCTCATCATGTCGCATTTTATCATCTCACATCATCACAGGAAGATATTTTGAAATTGAGAGTGACCAAATTCTTTAAACTTTGATTACACTATATTATTGTAATTGTTCTATTTTTGGTTATTATTAATCTCTTACTGTGCCTAATTGATAAATTAGACTGTATCTAGGTATGTTTGTATAGGAAAAAAATATAGTATTTGTAGGGTTCAGTGCTATCTGCAGTTTCAGGCAACCCCTGGGGGTCTTAGAACACATTGCCCACAGATAGGGGGACCCTACTGTATTGGAGTATTTTCTTCCAGTCTTATTTTACTTTATGAGGCATATAGTAAATGGAAGGAATTGATTTTGCCCTTCCCTTTAAACTAGTATTTATCTCCTAGTGATTGGATGCTAATGCAGCTGCTTAAATTTTGATGTTCATTTGAACCAACAGGGGCAGGGGGATTCTGATTCTGTAGGTCTGGGTTGGGACTTTTTATTTTTACCAGAATCAGCTAGGGTTTTGTCAGAAATGCAGAATCTTGGAACCCATCTCAGATTTACTCAGTCATGATCTACATTTTAACAAGATCTCCATTTGACTTATTTGCACATTAAAATTTGAGAAGCTCTAATTTAAAGAACCCAGAATAATCTAGTTTGACTTGGTTTCCACAGTTCTTTATGAAAATTATTTAAAGAAATAATAATATTTAAAAGTTATAGGAACCAGTGTTGCTGTTTCACTCTGATAGCAAACACAACTTTGATTTGTAAAACTATTTTTAGATATTTAAAACATTTTCCTTAACATGAGAGTAAAATTTCTTTGATGCTCAGGTGACTTTAAAGTTAGTTCTTGTTTGTTTATCCATCCTTATGCTAAGTGGTTTGTGTAGCTAATTCAAATGTAATCACTTCCCCCTGCTTGGCCTCTCATTTGAGAATGATTGTTACAGACTCTATTTTCCTGTATTTTCCTGGCATAGTGGATGACTATTCATCTTTCAGATGCTTTGATGAATGGATTAAAAAAGGGATGGAGTGACATAGTTACAGCACATCTTTGTTTCTGATTTTTTATAATAAATGAGTTTCTAGAGCTTTAAGACAACATATTAAAAGAAAATGGAACTCATTGATGGGCTTTGTTTTAGAAGAGAAAATTAGAGTGATTACCCACAAGCCACCAAATTATTTCGTATGCCAAATGTCCTTTATTCACAGATGAAAAAACTTTTAGGTTCTGGAAAATAACTATTTCTTTTCAGGAACAGTCAAATCATGGCTACCAGAGTAAAACTTTGTAACTGAAGAGCTCTGACATTTCTAACTATTTTTTAATGTATACATTTTTTTAAGATTTTATTTATTAATTCATGAGAGACACAGAGAGAGAGAGAGGCAGAGACACGGGCAGAGGGGGAAGCAGGCTCCATGCAGGGAGCCCGATGTGGGACTTGATCCCGGGACCCTGGGATCACACCCTGGGCTGAAGCCAGCGCCAAACCACTGAGTCACCCGGGCTGTCCTTTAATGAACATTTTAATAGCAAACTTCTTGGGATTCTACCTACTAGGGATCCAAAAAGAAGTAATTGTATGGTTAAATTTAATACTGAATTTTAGTTTTACAAGCACTTCCCACTCTGATAAATTTTAGTAGGTCCAATTAAACCTGCTGAAGCCATTCTACTACTGCCATCTTCTTTACACCTTAATCTTACCTAATGCTTTCACTCCTTCCAGGATTTTCAACAAAATACAATGAGAATTTGTTTACTAACATAAACTCTAATAAAAAAATTAAGCAACATGTATTGTCAAAATAAAATAAGGATCACTAAATAGATTTTAAATCAAACTTGCTTTTTTTTAAGCCTAAGAACAAAGAACACACTATAAATTGTACAGCAATTAAATACAAACTGATAGATTGAGCCTAAATATTGGGTATTTAATATATGGGAAATCAAAAGAGATAGTATTTTTTATAGACTTACTGCAGTGTCTACTGCAGTGTAATGTATCACTTTAAGATACATAGAACAGAGAAGGTAGTTGGAAGAAAAGGATGATGACATGAAAGTGCTAAGTCACCGTCTACTCCCATGAAGTATCTGCTGGTGAAGAATAGGTGGCCGGTTAAAACCTGTCTTTGGTCATGGAAAAGTTATCAGAAGCTTTTAAGCCCTAAATGTATTTGGGTTACATGTTAACCTTAAAGTCCAGAGGCAGTTTTGCCACAGGCAAGTCATATCAATAACATCAGCCTATAATTTAAGGATTCTTACTGCTGCTTGAAAGTGTATTATAGTATTTCATTTAATTTCAGTCCCTGAAAATATAGATTTTTATCTTTCCTGAATTTTCTCCATTTTATCACTAATCACTTTTTTTACAACCACCATTTTAGGTCAATTTTCTGAACTACTTGTTCTTCACAGATGTTAAAATATTAATACTTAAGCAAATCATTATAGTTGAAAGGTGTCAATTGATACTTGATCTGGTTTGATCAAAATTTAGTTCTTTCTATATATCATTTAATTTTTTATTTATAGAGGTTTGTGGGTAAGTTGTATTTCATTATGCTCAAGGTACGGTATATTATTGTGTAAAGTGTCTGATCCTTTCACAAGTTTCTAGGGTAGTTAATTGATTATACTCTCCATACTATAATCAAGACTTTTAAATGAGGACTATATTTCTGATATTTTAATAATAATTCCCAATGTTTTAACAAAATACATTAAAAAATGGAGTCATTTAAAGTAATGTCGAGTGGGGAAAAAACCAAATCCCAGAAGATTAGGTTCAGTATGATGCCATCTTTAGAAAGCTCAAAATAAGCAAAACTAAATAATATGCTGTGTTAGAAATGCATTCACTTGTGATAAAACAATAAAATAAAAAAGCATGAGCAAGATTCAGGATAACCGTAATCCCTAAGGGGTAAGCATGGGGATGGGATAGAGGAGTAGCACACCAAGGTAGTTGCAAGTTATTGGCGTGTGTACATCATGGACACACACACATAAAACATTTCATCATGAGTATTACTTAACAATTCTTAAGTGCAAGAAAACCAGGAGGTTTATATTATTCAGGAAATTTATGATGAGACTGTAAGGATTTTCCTCTTAGCTGGGGTACCATTTTGTTTTAAAAATACTGAGCATTGTGTCCAGTCAATAATACATTTTCATATTATCTTGTAATTTGTGGCAAATATTTAGTGATGTTTTTCTGAAATACCTAATCACTAAATAGTATGAATAATTATTTTTAATAATATATTTTGTATATTTTGTTTTATTGTCCAACTTACTTTTTAAACGATATTAAGAGTAAGACTAGTAGCTTTAATTATCACTGAGAATAAAGGAAATCTCAGAGTACTCTGCCCATATTCATACTTGGTGTTATATGGTCATATTTTGATCAATAAATGTAGTATTCTTTGCACATATTTTTGGAATTATGACTTTGTTTTGACAAGTGGACTTTGATTTCAATTGAATCTGGCAGAAAACAGCTCATCTTTTTAGTAAATCAGTGGTGTGGGAAGCTAAAGCAATTTTAATTACCAGATATGAGATTTTGGAGTAAAGAACAATCTCATATCAATATTACACTACAGTTTCAATAAAATAAGAAGTATCTCTCATCATTCTAGGCAGGCTGAAACCTAGGAGAAAATGGGATGAAATTAAGGTGCAAATTCTTTTCAGTTTTATAAAACGTAAAGCCATTCTTCTATCCTTAAAGGGATAGGACATTTAGCAGAGCTTGCAAGGGCTCACTTGGATATATTCTGGAACAGATCTTTTTTTTTTTTTTCCCCCTGCTGAATACTGGAGGGACTAGTTCTAGCAAGACTAATAGGCAAGCTATCTAGTAAAGTTGCAGCAGGATTACCCTCCTCACCACTAGCTGTATAAATATTTTCCTTTATGGTAAAAAAGAAAACTTCCCTTGGGCACTTGTGAAATACTTTTTTGGGTGGAAGAGGGGAAAATAAAGCATACAAGTTAACTAACTTGAAACAAGTTCTGAGAGGCTAGTCTGAATTTTGACAGATTACTTGAGGTTAAACTAGAAAGCTCTAACCTTCTCAAGAGCCTGTTTAGCTCTGCCAATCCCAAAATATACAGATTTTGACTGGAAATGTAGAACTTAAAACATTTAAAAGTCCCTCCAAAGAATACCTTGAAATAAAATTTAACATTATGGAGCTTAAAGCAAGTGAAATTAACCTTAGACTTGATTGAATGAAATAAACAACTGATCATTGTTTTGTTTTGTTTTGTTTTGTTTTGTTTTTTTTTCATGCCTATCGTATTTGGTCTCATTTTTAATTTGACAGAAAGAACAGCCTTTACTGTACCTGACGAGGAGTTCTTTCTGACTTACTCCTACACCATTCCCAGTCTGAAAGGTCTGGTTTCTGACTCTCCTCATGAGAAAGTCTTCTTTCTGGCCCTTCCAGAAAGGTGGTTTCTTCATAGTTAGCATCATGTCCCATTTTTTCAGAAAGCAATGGATCAACGCTCTTCTCACCGTGGCAATCCTGCTCAGCCTCGGTCATGTCAGTATTGGTACATTTGTTGATCCCTTTTAGTATGGAGCTGTCCCGGGAAGGTGCAGTGCTGATTTCCACTTTTATGGCATTAAAGATGCTGTGAGTGTCTCTCTGAGAGTCTTTTGTAGTTTTGCATTCAGAATTCATGAGATTGTGATAGGATACAGAATTTTCATCATCATCATAGTAATCTTCATGTGCTATTTTATAAATCCCATAACTCCGTTGGAATGATAGATTGAATTCAAAGCCTCTCCTCTTGGCTACGTAAAAGCAAAAGGAAAGTTCTGTGGTTAGGAAGGTAGCTATAAACAATAATTGGGTGTACATAGTGAATAAGAATAGGAAAGTGCATCCAAACTGATTACTATGAATTTAAAAACTACCTTCATTTCCTGCCGATTATGCAAAGTAATTAAATCTTATAAATCCAAGGTGTCATCACTCTGGGCCTAACTTTTCTCACTTGTACAATGATGGGCTTAAAATATTTACAATTCCAAGAATGCTGCAGTTTTCAGAGAAGTTTTAATGAACAATAATTTAACCATAAATTAGGAAATTCTCACACATATTTAGTTTTAACTTTCTCAGTTTACCAATTATCTATATATTTCTTTATTTGATGATAAAAGATATTGTTTATAAACTACTTTGTTGGAAATTATTGAGGTCTTAATATTATATAAGTTATTCAGCTGACAATATCACCAACAGAAATTACTGTGTTAAATATTTTGATGTATGACACTTCCATTTACATGTTTATAAATGCATACATTAAAAATTAGAAAATGCCACAACATGGTTTTTAAACTTTTTAAAATAGCATATGTATTTCTGATACAAATAAATTTGTAATGAGTGGTAAAAAATAATGAATAGATTTATATTTTTGTGATCTAAAGCACTTTACAGCATGTCTCTAAACCTGATTAATACAAGGTGAATTTAGCAGGAATACATAAAACTCTTTATGGTTTAAACCAAGCGAAATGTAATGCTATTCTAGTAAAGTACTACTAGTTAGTAGATATGGTACAAATTCTTAGTAGGATAACAAGTGAGAATGTGACAGAAAATGATACAATTTTTATGTGTGAATGTAATAAAATATTGGATCATTTTATGTATTAAGGTGGTAGACAAAATGCAATTTAATGTTTTGGTTTTCATCTTTCAAAATACGGCTCATTTCAAAGTATTTTTCTTCTTAGATAGCTGTCATATACCAGACATTTAGCTATCCTTGGTGGAAAAATCTATGAAAAATTATAAAATTCTATGGGAACAACAGAAAAAAATTTTATTCATTTTACAATATATCCTAGTGCCATTCACATGCTGATTCTATTACTAAAATTTTCCCACTACTGAAGATTTACAAAGCAATTCCACTAAGTGATAATAGAACTTAGAGGTAGCATTCATTATTTGAGTATTTAAAACATTAATTGTTTGAGCCACAACACAAACAAGAATTTCTGTCCAAAGAAAATGGAAAAGTAGAAACATAGTTAATATTTTAAAATATACTTTTATGTATAGTTCTACTTACTTTTTTTCTACTAATATGTCCAGTAAAATTAAATTGGGATTTTTAACTTACTTCAACAGTGTGAAAGTTGAAGGAACTAAAAGGATGTATTAATTATGGATGGGTTTCCCTTTTCTCTAAAAAAGATACAAAGTGGCAAATCGTCAATTCAAAGACAGTAGGCAAACAAAAACACATAAATCCCACCTTTAACATATAACAATAAAATTGATGTTTCCAACTATGTACCTTATTAGCTGTATGTTATAATTATGAAATATGTAAAGCAAAAGTGAGTAATGTTTTCGAAGTAGTGTGCATACTGTCAATGGAGAATCTCCATGTCATGAAGTGGAAGAGGTAGTTTGAGTTAGGCTCTGAGGGGGAAGCGCAATTATGACGCACACCATGCAGAAGCAGAAAACTCCAGGGCTAAGTTATGCACATGGGTCTTGTCGTTTAAGGGGCAACAACCCTACATAATAAAAGGCTTATTGATTCTGTTTTAAGGTTGAGAAAACTGAGGCTGGTAGAAGAAACCTACTTAAGATTACTTAACTGGTAAAGGGTTTTGAATTTAAAAGCCAACTGATTCTAGAATTGGAGTTACCAACCTGTATGTGAAATTGTTTTACTGCTAATTAGACGCATGAGAGAACTAAAGGTAAATTTCTGACTAAGGTAATTAATGGAGATAATAAGTCATAACAGTGTAACAGTTGACAATGTTTGACTAATAACTTACCAGAAACTTAAAGACTGTCAGAACACAATCAGGATCTTTTGAAGTCTATACTATATTATACTTTAAAAAAAATGTAATCTTGTATTTGTTCTGAAAAGCTAAACCCTGGACCAAACATGAATCAGCTTTAGTCTTTTGCTTTTAACCATATCTTGCTAATTGCATTTTTAGACATGAGTAATTATATCAGCTTACAAAAATAAATAATTCTTCAGAATGATACCTAGCAGATACTTTGATTTTGTTTAAAATAAAGACTGAATACCTGATTTCATAGAAAATATTTAACTGTTTAATTAAAAAAGGAAACATCATTTCATGTAAACAAAATGATTGTGAAAGCCACATCTATCCCATATGTCTTCCACCTGAGACCTCTGTGTTAAAATCATTTTTTTAACACCTTTGTTTTGAGACACTAGTAATACAGGCTTATGTTAGAAGCAGGAGAAAATTATTAATCTGCAAAGTATTTCCCATTACTGACATGCATTTTTTTTATTGCATGTCTCTCCATTTCCATTCACTAAAGCTGAAATGTAGAATTATATTTACATCTGCAAAATGAACCTATAGCAGATATGAATTAGGAAGCTTCCTTGCTTCTGGAGTTCACTGACAAAGAATCTAAAAGGGGGAATCTTAGTTTGTTAAGGAGAAAAAGCTGAAATGTAAAACTGGAGCCATATTCCCAAAGAATCAAAGCATTTGGTTAGGCACTTGCCTATTTGAGGATGATCATTTTTGGGATTTTGCAATTTTGTTCTCATGTCATCCTAGCAATAGGAAAATATATGATGGGTTCTCAGACAATGAAAACATATCATTCTTGTTCTCAGAATTTCCCTGTGGGGAGACCTGGGATCATAAAAGAGAATGGAACCATTTGGACCACAGGCATTTTAGAGTAATGTTTCTCACAATGTTCGATTCTTAAAGCTATGTGTCTTTGTATAAACCTACATGTTTCAGGGAATTTATTCCTTGAAATTTTAAATAGAAATAAGAGGGATGGTAAATTTGGAGGAAAAATATTATTTTGCTCTTGAAAAGGCGTGGTTTTATTTTCAAACATCGTATATTAATGTAATGATTGATTGTTCCAGCCTGCCGTAGGCTCTTCTGTCTTGTGCAGTACAAGATTGAATTACTTCCTAGACCATTTGCGGTGATAGGTCTGTTGCGTTGTTTTGTTTTCAGCTCTGATATAGGTGTCCCTTACTTCTTAAAATGACTCCCTATGTCACTTCCCTAAGACTTTTCATTTTCTCTGACATTGGACTTTCTTCGTCTCTCTCACAACTTTAAATACTATAAGACAATGCTGGTTCACTAATGTAGTAGTCAAATGTTAACATTTGATAGAATGTTAGAACTTCCAGGCTTGTAAATGATTTTTATGTATGTTCTATGGGGCTCAATGGGATTTATTACTAATTTTCTGTGTCACTGTTGCTCCAGATATTAATCTCCAGAATCACATAATTGTTATATAAGTTCCATAGTTATTTTATTTTAAAGACCTAGATGAATTTGGCATCTATTAATAAAAAAAAAAACTTTACGGTGTCCTTAAAACTGAAGAAATCTTCTGGTCACTTGAAAAGTTATCTAGACATATTAAATTCTAAATGTAACTAATACATGGAAAATGACCAGTTCATGATTAATTGATGTTTATAAAATAACTCTGTTGTAGAATTGATTGCAGAATATACTTTAATATTCTCCAGTTTCTGTATCTCTGAAATAGTCTGAGATGAACTATTTTTGTTTACCTTTTCTTTCTCTCTGTTAAAGAGTGATATATTTGCTTATTCTGACCAAAGGATAATAAATGGAACAGTAATTCAGCAGATATTCATGCATTTTTAGGTTTACTAAATGGTAGACCATCCTATCTTTTGTCTGGAATGACAAACGAATATCCTTTTTCTTCCTGGCACAGTCAAAATAAAGGGTCATTCCTCAACTGTTCCTGTCTCAGTATGAGAACAATCACTCTCTAGAGAGTTTCATAATTGACCCCACTCCCATTCTAGGTATACTCTTTAGAACATAATTTTTGTTGTTGTTGTTTTTGTTGTTTGTTTGTAATTAGCATGGCTATATTCATACATGAACATACATAGACAAATCTGTCACATTTTCCCTTCTTGAAACTGAGAATTTTTTTGTGTTTTCTGAAAGCAGAGCCATATACTTATAAAAGTTACTTTCTTTTTGTCTTTTTTTTTCCTTCAGATTTTAAGTAATCTCTCTACCCCCCATGTGGAACTCATATTCAAGATCCTGAGATCAAGAGTCATGTGCTCTACCAACTGGGCCAGCCAGATGCCCTTTAAAATTTTTTAACTGTTTTGAGGCACTCTCCTTTGAAAACTTTCTAAAAACCCTGGAAGAATACGAGAAGGAATAAAAATTCTGTTCCATTAAATAATAATGGGCTGTCATATAATGCGTTTTTAACACCTCAAAGAGTTAATCTCTTTTCAGATGCAGGCTTCTCATATGTAGACTTGGGAAAGGAATCTATTTTCTTCTCTGGGCTAAGAACTAAGGTGGATGGATATGACTTCTAAGGGCCTTGTTGACTTCGTGCTGTGCTGAGTAAATTCTTTCTTTTCTTCCCCCAAAATAATTATTCAATGTCCTAGCACTTTACAGAGTTGTTTTAAACCTGCCTCCTTTAAAACTTATCTCAGCACTGTGCTAAGAATTGTTTCACATTATAATTTCTTGACTTTATTTACCATTTCCATCTGTCCTTGGATTCGTCATTCACTACTCAGACGACTTCTCAACAGCCCACTTTTCTGTGTTTGACTGTGTGCTTATTGCTCCCAACCTCCACACTGTCAAGGACTTACTTTTTTCCCCATCCGATGCCACTGTATAGGCGTCCTGCTTACAGTTGATGATGCAGCCACAGGGCAAGTGGGTCCAGCGTTTGGACAAGACAAACACTGGGGTTACAGTGGTGGCCAGCAGGGTTAGTAGAAAGCTGAGCATCTCGAAGGGAGGGCTCTGAAACCCCAGCACGTGCTGAACCATCATGTGAATCTGCAAAGGCAAAGAGCTTCAGACCTATCCCAGGATGAAATTTTCCACTTTGCCGAGTCTTCCCCCCAAGCATGCTGCCCCAGCCCTCTTCTCCAGGCTCCCTTCCTGCTTGAGAGCCAGAAGCTCTGTTTTGGTGGTGGACCACTGGGATCCCTTGGGATGAGGCCGGATGATTTAGACCACAGGATGGTTTCTGCCCTCTGGGTGCCAGGTCTGTGCCCCCTGCTGCCCCAGGTCTCTTCAGGGAAGCACACTTTACAATGCTGGGGACACTAGGAGGAAAAGAGGCAGACGAACTGGACACCTGCACCCGGTCCTCCAGATGGCCTTTGTCACATCCCTGGGCCCTCACCTCCCCCCATCCCCAGCCTGCTTGTCACAGCAGGGCGCCACCTTCCTATACCAATACTGGGCTCCCTCCTGAAGGCTTGAACAGAAACCCCTGTTTGGTCCCTCTCTTCTCTTTCTACTTCAGATCACGCCTCTCCAATCTCTCCCCCTTGCTGAGGATGGGCGGCGTCCTTACTCGGCAGGAATGGAGTGGAGAAAAAGGCAGGACGGGGGTGGGAGGGGGGGGGAACGACTTTTACTACCTCCCCTCTTTTCTGAATATTCCCAGATATTGCCAGAAGAGAGGAGAACACCCCCGGCCACCACCACGATGGATGAGGGGAAGACTGTGTCCCGCGCCCCGAAGCGCTCGCTGCCTCCCATCACCGCCACCACCACCACCACGACCCCTCCCCAATTTCGAAGCGTGAAGCCTTAGGCGCAAGGGCTGCGCGGCCCTTCCTGCAGGTGCGTCTCCAAGAGCGCGCGAGCCGCAGGTGGAAGCGGACGGGGCTGCGCGCCCCGTGGGGCCTCTCGCATCCCGGGCCGGGCCCCGACCCGCGGCCCTGGCGCACGCCCCCGCGCGCCGCAGCGGCTGCACCTTTACCATCATGGGCAGCCAGAGGAGGGCTTTGGTCAGCGCTAGGATCAGAGAGAAGCGCTTCTGCGCCACGCTCGCCGGGAAGCTCCCGGCGCCGCAGGGGGCCCCCCGGTTCGCGCGCCCGCAGGCTCCGGGCAGCGGCCCCCGCCCCGGCCGTGCCCCCAGCGCGGCGTGGGGGCCCTGGGAGCGCGCCCCGGGGCACCGCGGCGCCGAGCCCGCAGCATCCTCCGCGCACCGGCCCGGAGGGGTCCCGGGCGTGGAGGCTCCGCGGGAGATGCGCTGGTAGGTGGCGTGCAGCCGGGGCGGCTCCTCCGAGCACAGCAGCTGGTGGGTGAGCGGCACCGAGAGGCCGGCGAGCAGCGCGAAGGCCGAGGTGTACACGACGCAGGGCAGCAGCACGTAGGAGCTGGAGCAGTCGGCCAGGCAGCCCCAGGCCGTGCGCACGAAGGCGCCCCAGCCGCACAGCGGCAGCGCGGACAGCCCCAGGCTGGCGGCCCACACCGTCAGCACCACGGCCAGCACCTGGCCGCCCCTGCGGGAGGCCGCCCCGCCCCCCGCCGCCCTGTGCACCGAGTAGAAGTTGTAGGACACCAGGAGGGTCGCCTTCAAGTTGCTCGAGAGGCCCTGGCACAGGTACAGCAGGGCCGAGGTGGCACACAGAGACCGAGAGGACGCAGGGACCTCGCTCGGCCACTGCAAGAACATGAAGATGGTCCCCGACAGGGCGCCCAGGAGATCGTCCCCGGACCAGGAAGCCACGAGCATGGACACGACCGTCCGGTTCTGCATCCTCAGCAGGGACGCCAGCGAGTAGATGCTGCCCGCCAGGGCCGCGAGAGTCATCAGGCATGTCAGGCAGAAAAGAGAGATGTTCAGAGTCCTTGGCAGACTTAAAAGGTCCGTCGAATCACCGCCTTCTTCCCACAGGCTAGAGTCGTTTGCTGACAAGTTACTGGAAAATCCAGACATTGTCTCGGGCTAACAGTCAATCCCCCCTTTCAGCGGGTCTGTGACTATTGTCAGAAGAAAGCATGATTGTCCGTTGCAAATCAGATCTCATTCTCCCCTACCAAGTTCCCCTCTAGATGTCCCCCCCCCAAGTCAGTCCAGCAGAAAATGATCACGCGTGTCTCCTTTAGATCGGACTCAGCCCGTATTTAAAAAACTGAGTTCCGTGTAAAGCTTTCAGCAAGAAACTTTTCGACACTCCGATTAAAAACAAGCAAGGCAGAAACTTGCTCCTGAAACCATTAAGTTTCTGGCATAAAAGGAAAAAAAAAAAAACTCCTCGGTAGACTGAAAAACAATGATGTCTGGCTCCTTTTGTGTCCTTCTTATGGAGCAAAGCAGCTTGTAGCTTGAGGTAATCAAACTCTATTCACTTTTTTAAGAGCAGGAAGGCGATGCATTTGGTTCCAGAGCTGGATTCAAAGGCTGGGAGATTATCAGGTAGGTTTCAGCTTTGCAGGTTCAGAGAGAGACACGTGCAAAAAGGAGAGAGACAGAGAGAGAGAGAGAGAGAGAGAGGCTGAGGCTGAGCACAGCTCCCCGTCGAACCGCTGTGTTCTTCAATCAGCCTGTGATCCTCGGAGCTGCAGGAAGGAGGAGTCAACTCCAAGCAGGAGAGAAGCAGGAACAAAAGGGAGGGGAGTTCAGTGTATGAGCAAAATGATGTACATCTTCTCAGCCTGCCTCATGCAAGGCAAGAAACAGTGTCCTTGCTGAGCCTTCCTTTGTGGTTTTGACATATAAAACTAGCCCAGATACTTGCTCAGACTTGATGTGAATGACAAATACCATCTTTGAGAGGTCCAAGCTACTACACTAAGAGATTTTCATTGTATTCTTATCTAGACCTCTCTGATTCATAATGTTTCAGAGGAAGAATAGCCTCGGAGCCAGTTTTAAAAGAATAGAATGTACCAGCTTTGTTTTTTTTAAATATATATTATACTTAATGTCACAATGGTCTTCATTACACTAAAGGAATTTTTGCAGAATCTTCGGGCAGAGCCATCCATACTAACTTCAGGCATGTAACTATTTTCTATCAATGTCGTCCGGTAAGCAAGCTGCCATTTGAATAAGTCATGTTTTCTAGCTGATAAAGTCCGATGACTGTGTGTAGGGTGTAAAGGGCGATGACCCCACAAAAGCATTTTTGACCAGAGTATTTGCAGTGGGGCATACAGTAACTGCATCTCTGACCTCACCAAAAACTTGTCAGCTTTGCAAGATGAGTGACTTAGCAAAGAAGTTGCAGCAACAGTGGTTCTGTTAGCAGAGTGAGGTATTTGAGCCCGACCACTGAAAGGAGGCCAGACCCAAAACCAAAGGCAGAAGAAAGGCTTAATTGGGGCCACAGCTTCAGCTGAGGGGTGACACACCATCAATCTAGCCTCCCCGAGGTCCTAGAGAGGCCCTCATATAGAAAGTTCCCTCTCAAGTAGTGTCCCCAACCAATATACTAAGGAGGGAAAGGAAGAAAAATAAGGGCCTCCTCCCGATTGGTTGGAGGAGACTCATCCCGATTGGTTGATACTGGCAGGCAACTCAGACAGCTAGTCTGTGTTTTTTGGAGCCTGGGGGGGGGGAGGGAGCTCTGTTTTTAAATCTGGCTTGGATGCGGATCCTCATGCCAGTTTTGCTCTTTAAGAGAAACAGTTTAACAACAATAGCCAACAGAAAGCGTCCCAAGTGCATAATGCTTTTCCCTTAGGGCTTGATCCCCAACTGTCTCAGTTCAGGTCAGGGATCTCCCTGAACCATTTAGGGTAGCTTTCCTCCTTGGCTGGGCCTGGAGAGCTGAGGGTTCCCCACCCCTCACTCACCCCCACCCTCCCTGTACAGAGCTGGGGTCCGAAGGAAAGCAGGGAAGGAGAAGCTGATATGGTAATGACCTAAGTGGATGGACGTGGTGATAGAACTCTGATCATTCCTTTCATTTTAGAGGTAACTGGAGCTATGAATTAAACCTGAATCTGCTCGTGTGGGAAGTGACGGTGTTCGTCGTTGCCCCCCTAGACCCTCAGTAAACACAGTAGGCACTTTGCTGACCTTCACATGTTGTTTTATGTCCCCTTCTCTCGGCAAATGGAAACAAAACCCGCCTGTTGCAGCTAGCTGAACACTCCAGTCCTCCCCACTGACATGTTATAGGCCCTGCAGTGCAGGTCTTGCAGTTAGAAGAGTCTGGGGATAACTTCATGTTAAAATAATGTGGCTTCAGAAAGCACAAAATGATAAGCAGGTCTTTTCTTTTTAAAATCCTTTTCAAAGTTCTGCGTATGCTCTTCTGTATCTTTTTCTGAGACCTATTCCTCCCTCCTGTCAGCAAAAATACTACTTTCTTTTTTTTTAAAGATTTTATTATTTATTCATGATAATACACAGAGAGGAGACAGAGAGAAAGAGGCAGAGGCACAGGCACAGGCGGAGGGAAGAAGCAGTCCCCATGCAGGGAGCCCGACGTGGGACTCGATCCAGGGGTCTCTAGGGTCATGCCCTGGGATGAAGGCAGGCGCTAAACCGCTGAGCCACCCAGGCTGCCCAAAATACTACTTTTCAATGTGGCATTTAATCTTGGATTTTCTGTTGAGTTGGACAATAAGTATGACCGTTAAAATACAAAGAGTAGAAATTGACAATAGCTGTTGCAGTACCGTTTGAGGCCTGGAGACATTTCCTCTATCATTACCATTGGTTTGGGGTTTTCCATTCAATACAAATTTGAAAAAGAGGCACCTAACCACCCTGGCGCCCTGGTCTCTAGAATATGACAGAAGAGGCAAGAATGTTAGCACACCCGCAAAGGTTGGAGGTAGAATGGCAGCCAGTATGGAGCTAGGAACGATAGCTGAATGTGGACTTCACAGCTTGCCGTTGCTGGCTGTGTAATTTGGGGCAAAAATCACTATATCTCTTCTCCTGTTTCCATGTCTGTTTTCACATCTATAAAATAAGGGAGCTCGACTGAAGTATCTTTAGGTCCTTTCAAGTTCTAAAATTAGATGATACAATTTTAAAACCAGGTTAACTTTATCTCAATTTTCTTTTCTACCTACTTCACTATAATCAATATTGTCATAAAATAAAAGGAGGAAGCCTAAAGACCTGATACTTGGATTCGCCATCCCTGCCCTTGCCATCGTGGAATGGAGGCCCTTACTAATATGAAGATGGTGTAAGAGTCAGGCAGCCTGGAATGTTGGGCAGACTGGAGGACTGTGGCTGCCCTGGAGAGCCGAGGGAACCAGTATAGGCCTTGTATGAGTGCGAAGTAAAATTTGTTGTGTGAGTCAGTTGATTTGGGGTTTTGATTTTTTACTAGGATATAATGCCTCATCCTAATATGGTTAGGTATACTATTGCCCCCACAGAGTTAGGAAGTGGTGGAGTCGGATTTAAAAATCATAATCTGGCTTTGCATTCTGATTCACTACAGACATACATTTTTGAATTAGCCCCTCTTAGCATCTCATGCTTGTGAATACTTCCAATGGATATTATTATCATAGACTTGTTTCTCAGAAAGAACGTTTGAAATGTTTCATTTTTCAGAATGTTGATTTATTAACAACATTTTACCAAGCTTTATGTTTTATAATATATATTATATATGCATATATTATATACATGCATTTCTTGAACGTTGTAAGCCCTCCCCTTAGTCATGATCTCATGTTCTTTACAATATCCTCTGGAGTTTAAAAAAAAATTAAAAACTCACTCAATACTTTTCAAATAACCAGTATAACTTTTAGTAGGCTGGAAAGAAAGTTCTAAGAGGTTACTTTGTGCCTTAAAAAAATTTACTCCGTTCCTATGAGTAAACCTCCTTCCCCTGCTTCACTTACAGTAAAGCCTTAGTCTTCAATTATTTAAAATTCTGTCTTCAGGGCACCTGGGTTGCTCAGTGGTTAAGCATCTGCCATCAGCTCAGGGTGTGATCCTGGGGTCCTGGGATCGAGTCCTGCATTGGGCTCCCTGCATAGAGGTTTAGGTACTTACAGCAAGTATCCAGATTAATTAATCAATTAAGCATTGGACTCTTGGTTTTGGCTCAGGTCATGATCTTATGGATCATGAGATGGAGCAGAGACGTCTCCCTCACCACCCCCTGCCCCCACCCCAGCTCTGCCTTGGGCCCTGCATTCAGCTGAGGAGTCTGCTTGAGTTTCCTTCCCTCTGCCCCTCCCCCCACTCTTGCACTCTCTCTCTCTAAAATAAATAAATAAAGCTTTAAAAATATGTACAAATAATATTTGACTACTCTGAACGTGGTAACTATAAACCTTCATTCATTCGCTCCACATCTATTTGATGTCTAAAGGTCAGTGTGCATTATGTTTTCTGCCCTTGTGAAGCTTATGATCCAGTCATTTTTCATACTGTCTTCTTCCTTAGATTGCCTTCTGCTTAACCTTTCATTCTGAGAGATTCAATACAGTAAATATTTAATGGTTAGGATTAGAATGTGCTTCTGTACAACAAATTGAACAAGCCTTAAATTAGTAATTCAGGAAGTAATGCAGGGGAACCCTTGTACCTCGTTTCCCCATAGTCGATTTGAGCTGCATGGTCTCAATTTCAAATGTTGAAATTATTTCAACATTTCGGTATCTCAAGGATAGAATAATATCCTGAGCTAAGTACTATCACTATGAGTGATATACAAAGGAATTCTGATATTAACTTTTAGTTTCTTTTCAGTAGGGAGTAGATGAAAATGTATAAGCAGCCATGAGGTTAGTTCTTGGTTCTGGTCTGGTCCAGATTTCTTTTCATCTTGAATTAGTTATTGTTATTCTGATCCTCAATGTTTATGTGATCACCCCTCCCCTTCCCCCGCCACGATTACTCCTGTTCCACACCAGTGTGTGCTGGGACATTGCTTCCTTATTCCTTATTAGACTTTCTTAGTATTTTCAGAAACTTTTCAGTCTCTGTATCTATAAATGCTCAAGGTT